TTGCATACTGGGGATAGTCAGAGAGTACTGCTTTTGGAATATTGCCAATGGCCGTATGGCTGTGCATGTCCTCCTACACAACTCTGTGCTTTAACGACACAATCTGACCAGTATGACTGCCTTGTTGGAGAGGAGACATTAAAGACCAAAGTAAACAGTACTGGAACCCAAAAATTGCTCTTCTAAACAAAGGAAACATGTCAAAATTAGGACAAATCATATATTAAATCAACAGTCACTGTGACCCAATAAAGAGAAGTTTGGCAGTGAGGGCCTGTATAGCAGAATATGGCAACATTCCATTTGCAGTGCTGAAATTACAGCTTCAAATTGACATGCCTAATACATGGACCAGTGCATGGGTCTGTTGATGAGATAGCTTTTGTTGTATCTAATTTCTGTTTGACAAGTTATCAGACAACTGTTACTGTAACACAAACTACACTGCCAGGATGAATGGTACAATTCAATTTCCCATTTTCTCTGAGACAGCAAGACTGACCACCATGTACTGGAAGTATCTTTTCTTACCAAGAAGTACACAGAGCTGTTTTGAAAATTAAGTTGTCAGACTAACTGACATCATAAGGTCATTACTGTAAATATTGCCTTTGGTTGTGAATACTACACACTGATAGGTAAAAGCTAAGAATAGGAAAGCTAAGAATAATAAAGGTTCTCTGAATTTTCCCTTTTCTAGTAACCTGAACATTTATTATTTTCAGCTTTTAGGCCACTGATTTAAGGAAATGTGTTTGACTGAAAAAGTAATCAGGTCTGTGGAGGATAGACAGGCAAGTTAAATTAAGGGCAAACAGACTATGGCAGTAAAAATGTCACTATTGCATTGAAATGGGAAGTAGAATGAATAAACTGGAAATAATGATTAAAAATCAAAAAGCCAAATCTGGGCAAGGAATTTTAGAGAAACTCTACATTGACTTGAATGGAGAGTTCAACTTATAAAGCTATATGATTGAACAAAACTTATAGACCTATTTAAAAAACAGAAAATAATGCTAATTTTAAGTGAGCCAAAAAGTAAAAATAAAATAACCCATAAAAGAAAATTGCTAAGTGCTTAGAGTAATATTGTCAGATAGTTATGGCCCAACATTTAGAATCCCCCTCCTATGAAAACATTTTGCAAATGCTAAAAAATAGAAAAGTATTAAATATGTTTTATATATATTAATTCATTTAATGGAGAATACTCCAAACCATGAAAAAAAAAAGAGATGGGACAAATGGGTTCATTTTAATACTTAGAAACAAGTGAAAAGCAATAAATAACCAGTGAAAACCATGAGAAGCATATAACAATTGTTTAAAATTCTGGGCTAGCCAAAAGGAATGGGGTACATGTTGTTGTGTTGCCTCCAGAATGACCCAGAAGGGATACTGACTGCCAGAGTTTGCTTCCCAATATGTTGGCATAGATACACCACCAGGCACATTACATAACTTGGAATCAAAGCTGTATTCACTCCTTACTCCTTCCTGTAGGAGGGGACATAGCAGCACTGTGGAGCATGCTACCCACCAGGCAATGGAACTCATGTTACGGTGCATGGGTACATGAAGTGCTTTCTGCCTCCTTCCCCCTTAATCCCTTGGGCTATTACTGAGAATGGGACATGATCTGGCCTTCTTTAATTATCTAAAAGTTCATCAGCAATACAGATCTGGATATATAACTATGAGCATGACCGTGCCCCTTATATAACTTATTTTATGCAAGGAATTAACATCTTTGAAAAGTCATGGAAGTAGGGAGAGATACCGGAAGACTGAAAGGGCAAATATAGCGCTCGTCTATAAAAATGGAAATAAGAATAACCCAGAGAACTAGAGAGAAGTCAGTTTAACTTCTGTGCCAGGGAAGATAATGGAGCAAATAAATAAGGAATTAATCTGCAAAAACCTGGAAGATAATAAGGTGATAGTATAACAGGTCTTTGGAGAACGGAGAAGTGGTAGATGTAGTATAGCTAGACTTTAGTAAGGCATTTGATATGGTCTTGCATGACCTTCTTATCAATAAACTAGGGAAATTTAACCTAGATGGGACTACTATATGGTGGGTGCATAACTGGCTGGATTACTTCTCAGAGAGTAGTTATTAATGGTTCACAATCATGCTGGAAGGGCATAGCAAGTGGGGTTCTCCAAGGGTCTGTTTTGGGTCCAGTTCTGTTCAATATCTTCATCAACGATTTAGATGATGGCATAGAAAGTATGATTATTAAGTTTGCATATGATACTAAGCTGGGAGGGTTTGCAAGTGCATTGGAGGATAGGGTCATAATTCAAAATGATCTGGACAAACTAAAGAAATGGTCTGACGTAAATAGGATGAAGGATATATATAATATAAGGATAAATGCAAAGTATTCCACTTAGGAAGGAACAATCAGTTTCACACTTAAAAAATGGGAAGTGAATGTCTCTGAAGGAGTACTACAGAAAGGGACCTAGGGGGCATAGTGGACCACAAGCTAAATATGATTGTGACACTGTTGCAAAAAGTGTTACACTGTTGCAAAAAAAGCAAATATGATTTTGGGATGCATTAACAGTAAGCAAGATTGTTTTTTGTCTGGAAATGAGTGACAGGGAAGGGATCATGTGAGGATTACCTGTTGTGTTCCCTCCCTCTGGGGCACCTGGTATTGGCCACTGTTGGCAGACAGGATACTGGGGTAGATAGACTGTTGGTCTGAACCAGTATGGCCATTCTTACATTCTTATGTTCTAAGACACTCTGCTCTGTGCTGATTAGGCCTCAGCTGGAGTATTGTGTCCAGTTCTGGGTACCACATTTCAAGAAAGGTGTGGAAAAAATAGAGAAGGTCCAGAGAAGAGCAACAAAAAGGATAAAAGGCATAGAAAACATGAGCTATGAGGGAAGATGGAAAGAATTGGGCTTATTAGTTTAGAAAAGAGAAGATTGAGAGGGGACATTATAGCAATTTTCAGGTATCTAAAAGGGTGTTACGAGGAGGAGGGAGAAAAATTGTTCTCCTTGGCTTCTGATGATAGGACAAGAAGCAATGGGCTTAAATTTTAGTAAGGGGGAGGTTTAGGTTGGACATTAGGAAAAATTTCCTAATTGTCAGTGTGATGAAACACTGGAATAAATTGCCTAGGAAGGTTGTGAAATCGCCATCACTGGATATTTAAGAGCAGGCTGGATAGACCTCTATCAGGGATGATCTAGATGATGCTTGGACCAGGGGATCTAGATGGTGCTTGGCAGGGGAATGGACTTGATGATCTCTTGAGGTCTGTTTCAATTCTAGTATTCTATGATTCTGTGATCTCCAAAATGAAGTTAGTTAGCAACAAAATGCATGCACACACTTTGGGTGTGTCTAGACTACATGCCTCCTTCGACGGAGGCATGTAGATTAGCCAGATCGGAAG